AACACATAAAAAAGGCGCCAAAATTTTAATGCAAAAAACTCGAAAGATCCAAAAGAATCCAATACAATACAGCTATCTGAAATATTACTACAGTTAGCCGCCTCCAACCGAATCCTGGACCTTGCCTTCACTGGTGCCTCCGATCTGGACTCTGACCTGGTCTGCCGCCTCCAAGAAGAGCAGCGGCGGCATGTCTTGGAGGCAGCAGACGGGTCAGAGTCCAGATCGGAGGCACCAGTGAAGGCAAGGTCCAGGATTCGGTTGGAGGCGGCTAACTGTAGTAATATTTCAGATAGCTGTATTGTATTGGATTCTTTTGGATCTTTCGAGTTTTTTGCTTAAAATTTTGGCGCCTTTCTTATTGTGTTCCATATTCAAGATGTGATAATGGTCTCGTCGCTTGCCGAAGGAAAAAAGCGGATTGGTGTCACGTCAAGCGCACCGCCTTGACACGCCCCATCATCCGCGGCGTATCTCAGTGGACGAGAAGTTCTCAGAAAACTTGTTATCTCCCTCTCCTTGCCATGCTTTATCCTTATCTGTTGGAAATACGTCGAGTCGTCAAGCACGTTTACTGATGTGATTGAATATGTTTAGAAGACGGTAGTAACTTTCTAAGTTACTAAGGCAACATGCTTAACGGTGCAGATAAGCGCCGAAACGGGCCAGCAGTGCACGATAGTGAAGATAACGAGCTACTTCCTTCTACAGCTGCTGCGGCTCCTTCTACAGCTGCTGCAGCTCCTCCTACTTTTACTATCGCTCCTCCTACGACTAACACTCCCGCAGCCGGTGCACATAGAAATGGATCACGGTTCACTCTCAATGTTGAGCACCACCACACACACCCAAGTGACTCGTCTTTATCGAGAAATAGTAGTCATCGTATGTTTTGAAACCTCAAACTGAGTTTTTTTTACTATTATATTTTTTCTACTTTCAGTCACAAAAACTACTTTTCTTTACCCGCTATGCGAGGTTCTAATTAAGCATACCGTTTCAGGAGAACTGTTTTCATGGGGAGGGAAGGACGCTGGAAACCACAATCTGGCCCTTTTCGAGGAGCCATCCATGCCCTTTTTCTCCAGTTACCTGAAGGCTCACACTACACCTGGACCCTTGGAGCGCATGCAAAGTGAGAATCAAAAAAAGAAGGTGGGTTCTGTTCTCAATTTATTCACTTTTTGAGCACGTTCAGCGAGCCGCTGTGATATCATCGTGCTGTTATGCGATATTTTTGAAACTTCATAACGATAGAAATCAGATGTTTTTGATGAATTTCCTCAATGTGTACATTTTCAGGCAGATCTCGGAACCATGCTTGGAGTATACTTACCCACAATTCAACATATACTAGGTGTTACTATGTTTATTCGGTTGTTTTGGGTCGTTGGCATCGCCGGCCTTGGCCAAACATTCCTTCTTCTCCTTTTGTGCTGTCTCTGTGTAAGTGAGCTGTACCGTCAGCATTTTTTCTTTGAGTAAAAGAGCACGTTTAAAATTCTTCGAACACCTGTACATTTTTTACAACCTGCGTGTAATCGAAAAATTACATTCAAGTGGAGTGCGTTCATACTTCCTGACAGCGTTTTCAGCGTCTGTCAGCGTTTGAGCGACTAGGAGAGTATAGGTATCAATGTAGCGTTTTGAGCGTTCGTCAGCGTCAATCGATACCTACACATTCTTAGTCGCTCAAACACTCGAAACGGTGATGGACGCTCTGAGCGCTGGCGAACGCTCAAGACGATAGATCGATACGTATATTTTCCATGTCGCCGAAGGCGCTGGCCGACGCTCGAAACGCGGATGGACTTTCGAAAGGCTGATGAAACGCTCAGAACGCTGGATTAATATGTACACTCTCCTGGTCGTTCAAAACAGCCTATTAAAGTGCTGACAGATGCTCAAAACGCTGCCGCAAAATATGATCGCACCCTTTGAGAAGAATTAGCTTTTTTTCTGATTGTAATAGTTCCGTGGTAACTATCTTGTGTACTATTCGTGTCCATCTTCTACTTCCCAGTCATTTCTATGACTTTTTGCAGACTTTCCTCACGTGTATATCCATTTCTGCAGTAGCGACGAATGGCGTCGTGGAAAGTGGAGGAGCATACTTTATGATATCGAGAAATCTTGGCCCCGAGTTCGGCTCAGCTGTTGGCTTACTTTTTTATCTCGCAAACACTGTGGCCACCTCTATGTATCTCGTCGGTGGTGTAGAAATACTTCTTGTAAGAGAATCTTCACTGAATTTTTCAGCCTTTAGATTGAATGATCAAATTTATATTGAGTTGTATTGCCTACGTCTTTTTTTTACTACTACATCTGTCAAATTTCAGTTGTACATATTTCCTGGTTTAACAATTGGTGGATCTGAAGTGCACTCACATACTGGTTGGTGAAGAAGTTCAACAAGTTTCAACCGTATGGAAAATTTGCCGCTAAATCTTGCCATATTCAGGCACGTTTGGCATGATGACCAACAATCTACGTTTCTACTCCACAATACTCCTTCTGCTCGAGTTCCTCATTGTAGCCATGGGCGTGAAGTTTGTTCAGATGCTTGCACCGGTTTGTACTTATAACATTTTTTACAATTCTGAATTTTCCCTTATGTCAGTGATATTTTGAAGGTATCCCTTGTTTGTGTGATTCTTTCGATTCTGGCCTGCTACGCTGGAGGCATTGAGAAGACGATGAATCCAGACGCCGGTCAGAGGTGAGTGCATTCACTCGAAGTCTGTCAGTTAGTAATTACCGTTACCGGATTGACTTAAAGTGAGCAGTACTGTATTGAGATTAGTGTATGGAGTCAGTTTCTTCGCCCTCTCTTATTCTTGGGTTATTCCTCAATGGACGGCGGATGAGGGCGGAGTGTAGTGCTAGTGTGACAAAGTGGGGCCTTAACCCCCGGGCTCGGATCGGGTCGACACCCGCCCAGGCCAACCAAGCCTTCTACCCTCGGGGACGGTGAATTGGTACCAGATTCGTCTGGGAGGATAAAACACTGACTTGTACATCTGGCCACCGCAAGTCATTGTATAGGCCACATCGCATTCAATAAGCCACTACGATTCTGAATGGAAGTAGAATGCGTGCCGCATCCCACAAAGGGATTGATTAACGGCGAAGACTTTATCCTTTTATTCCTCATTACATTGAGGAATACATTGCCATTGCATTTCTGAAGTGCCCTGGCATCGTCACGAGTAATGAGGAACAGTTAGGAATCGGTTAATGGCACAATTAGCCAATGAACTGAGAAGGCAAGAGTGGCCCCGGTGGCGCTATAGGAAACGCAGCCGCCCAGCAACAGGTAGCTGCGGGCTCCAATTCCGTCCATGGTCTGACTTGTCCCCACAACTCAGCATTCTTGTGATAACTTCTGAAGTGGTTTCCATTACCAGTACACTATTGAGTACTAGAACAGTTTGTATTTCTTTTGAGGTCTTACAATGAAGTAGTGATGCAACAAGTTTGCTTTAGAGCCACAGGAAATGAGAAATAATTTGCCGGAATTCCTGAGTTTGAGCTAGTCAACAGCCGGGTGATCCTCCTTCCCCATGTGCAGTGCGTATTACTCCTAACATCTTCAAAGGAGGACCTCCTCCCTAGACGGTGATCCTCCAAATTTCACAAATGCCACCCTGGGACTGTTGAGAATTTGTTGGGCGGAGAGATGTAGATTAGCACCCTTGGTGTACTATTATGTGGTATGGGAACCGAATTATGAATTTTTGCAGCAAGCGCTATTCAATCAGTGCCACCTCCCTTTCCTCGTCCGTCTCTCCCAGGTTTCATTCGCTGACCCGCTGCTGACCTTTGCTTATTTTTCTCAGTCCCTTGACCTCTTTTCTAGGGGTTCGAGAATTTTTGTCTTTGGTACCGCCCGATGTATGTACGCCCACTGTGAGCGGAGCGCAGGATGACTTACATGTGCCACGTGCATTTCGACCTATGTTCCTTCCATGTCACACTTGATTCGCTCCCTGAAGCGATTTTTTCCCATTTTCTGGATGGTCAGGGTAATTACGACAGCGGACAAGTTGTGGTCAATATACAAAGAGATACTTTTGACGTTACTAACTTTAGGTTGGGAGGGGCAGTCTGAGCATTCAAAGAGACTTCTTCGGCAAAAGTGGAAAATCGCCACTCAAGTTCGAAGCACTTTTCGATGTTAACGTGGTCCGCCGACCTGGATCTCCTCTACTTTTAGACTTGGGCTCATACTTTGGGGCAGCGTCCACCAGCGTTTCAAGAATACGGCAAAGTCAGCGACTAGGAAAGTATAGATATCGATCTAGCGTATGCCAGGGTCCACCAGCGTCTGGAAGTAGAGGGTGTGGACGCGATAGGAGGGTGCAGACAGCTGGTAGAGTATGGAGGCTGAGGGTAGCAGGTTGCTGGTAGAGCGTATGGCGCGTTAAGAGGGTAGCAGGCAGCTTCTAGAATGAGGCCCACGCTGGTAGATGCTGGCAGACGCTAGATCGATATCCATAACTTCCTTAGTCGCTGCGTTGCCGGACGCCCGGAACGCATTTGGACGCTACTGTAAGCTGAATGCTGCCGCCTCAAAGTATGAACGCAGCCTTAGGCGGAAATCTTCATTTCTTGCGAGAACCCGTTTTCGCACAACTAGTCCTTCTCGTGCCCCTCAAGATTATTAGCGTGAAATTTGTTTATGCTATGTTACTTTCTCATGAAATTGGAATTTGTGTTTTTGAGGGTGTGTATGTATGGCGATCACCTTCTGCAGTCCAAATTCGTCATTCCCAAAGACAATGGATCCATATACGATATGTGCGATTATTGCACAACAAAGTGAGTGTTTTGTTGTTCTTTTTTCAAAATCCTCGTACTTACCATTTACTTCGTGAACTTCTCGGAGCCTTGCTCTTTTGTACCTTCTGCTAGCATAGTTTTGGTTATGCCCACTGAGGAGCAATCTTCCAGCAACACCTTTTTGATGGATAACCTTTGTCCTGGAGGACAGTGCCCAGCTGATTTTCTTTCAAAAACAATATCGTGCATCAATGGTTTTCCTGGTTTCAAAAGCAGCGCTTTCGTGGGTGAGCAGTTAGAACTTTTAGCTTAAAATTCTCTTTCTTGAGCTCGTTTTCAATGGCTGCGCTTCTAGATAACTTGGGATCGCAGTACATTGACCAGTTTCACGCAACAGTTGAAGATAAAGCAGACATCAATCGTGATGTTTTCCAGGTTTGTAACTAATGAACTTTGTTTGCCTTTTATCTTCAGCGGAGCGGAATTATCTTGGGAGAACTTTCCTTTTTATTTTTTTATCTACCTTATCTTCAAACTCTTCTGAAACTCTTCATTCAGGATGTGAAAACATCGTTTTGGGTACTGCTAGCCATCTATTTCCCGGCTGTCACTGGAATCTTCACAGGAGCCAACATGAGCGGTAAGTTTCACGTTCTCAAAGCGTGGTTTCCCAGTCTGCATAGAACAGTTCAGTAGTTGAAGGATTATTCGAGTCAATAAGTTCGGGCTGAAGAAATAAGTCCTGGCAAAAAGACTGACAGAACATAATTTCATGAAACTCGTATATATGTCACTAGCTTGATCAACCATCCTGTTTGGTCCCATAAGCTGACGGATATTTCTATATGTTGCATGAGCGCAGGTCGGCTTGGTGAGGGCATTTTGCTGTTTCCTATGGATCACTGCCGATGTCTTTTGCGGGGACTTGTAATTTCCTGTGAGGCTATGCAACAAGCATGGGCTTCACTTGACAAGAGTTCACGGGTGTCACCAAAGAGAAGTGTATAGTTTAACAGGAGCTAAAAAGCTAACGGAAATGTAAAATGCCCCCTCAAGCTGAACAGCGCCCTAGTATGAGTAGTACATTATTTTCCTTCACGAGAATAAATGGTCCTGAAGGGTGTTATAAAGTTTGAATGGATTTGCCATGAAATTCTGGTTACAATGTGGTTCGCTGCGGATGGTGAGGCGTTCTAGTGCGGCTGCGTTCGGCGCGATGCAACCCTATTTCGGCAAGCGACAAGACTGTATCACATCTTTCATATCAGGCACTTTCCCCATTTGTCGGCGCTTACCCGCTTCAACAACCGCTAGAGAGTGGGTTTGGCAGCGTCTCAAACGCAGCCGCGCAGAAACGCCTAATCGTTCCCTGGACATCGTACGGTATTTCTTTTCGATTTTGATAACATGCATAGCGGTCATCATAATAACCATATATGATTGTTTAATTTTCTGTTACAGGAGATTTGAAAAATCCTCAACAGTCAATCCCTAGAGGCACCATTGCTGCCACCCTCACTACGTCGTTCATTTACTTTTCGTTGGCATTCGTTTTTGGAGCTACCATTGACGGCAGTGTGCTGAGAGACAAGTAGGACATTTTGGAATTATTTCACAAATTTGCATTTTCGGTGAAAAAATTTTTGAAGAACCATTCTTGTTTAGGAATGGCCAGTCATTGGGTGGTTCTATGGTAGTGGCCTCTTTATCATGGCCTAGCGCTTGGGTTCTTTTGATTGGGTCCTTTTTATCCACATTCGGAGCTGCTCTACAATGTCTTTGCTCGGCTCCTCGTCTTCTTCAGAGTATCGCCAAGGATGACGTCATTCCTATTCTTAGACCCTTCAAAAAGGTCACGAAAAACAATGAACCATTCTTAGGGTTAGTTATACTTCCTGTTTTTCGTTAACTCCATCACATCCTATTTACGTTATACTTTTTCAGCCTCATTATTACAACAGTAATAGCAGAACTGGCCATTCTTATGGGTGCTATGGATAGCATTGCTGCCGTAGTAGACTTCTTCTTTTTAATGTGCTACGCTTTTGTGAACATAATTTGCACGCTTCATTCTCTTCTCGGTGCACCAAACTGGCGTCCAAGATTCAAATATTATCACTGGTAAGAATAATTTTCAAATTTCTATTGTATTTACTACTATGTTGATGATATGTTCTCTCGGGATTTGAACGCTCTTGCCTGAAATTATACTTAAGCAGCGTTCAGACTTCGCTATAACGTGCTGTAACACGCGAAGATGCGCCGTAAAGCGCGTTAACGCCCTAGCCGCAAGGGCGCCCAGTGCTATAGACGCGAACGCAGCCGCAGAGGGGAACCGATCGGCGCTCGCCGCTTGCATTTTGAGAGATGACTCGAGTGTAGGCCCCGCTTTCACGCAACGTAGTAAAGTCTTATTCCTCTATGCTCCAGAATGCTGGCAGCCAGAGCCGACCGATACCAAACTGCGTGACTAGGCAGCGCGAACACTTCTAGTCCTCTCTACTCTCTTTCTCTCTCGAAACACTAGTGGCCGGTGCTTGTCGATTCTGCGATTCTGCGGTGCGTTTGCGCCTATGGCATTTGGGAGTTCTTGGAATTGTAGCGCGTTGTCGCGCGTCATCGTGCAGTCTGAACGTTATCTTTATTCACATTCCTTAAGGTCTTTGTCACTCCTTGGTGCCGGTCTTTGCTTCTTCATCATGTTCTCAACTCATTGGGACTATGCCCTCGTGTCCATATTCCTATGCGTTTTAATCTACAAATACGTCGAATGGAAGGGGTAGGTTATTGTGCTAGCAGAGCCCCCTCTCTATCTCACCTAAAGAGTGTACTGCTTTAGTGCAAAGAAGGAATGGGGAGATGGTATTCGTGGTTTGGCTCTCACAACGGCACAGTACTCTCTGATGAAGATTGAAGACAAAGACCCACATCCCAAAAACTGGAGGTTTATTTTTCTTTTTCCTGAGAGTCTCATAGATAGGATTTCTTAGCATCTACATGGTTTCAGACCTCAACTTCTCCTACTTTTCTCAATGCCTTGGGCCAGAGAATTAGTTGATGTGCGATATCTTAACCTTCTCAATCTAGCCTCTCAGCTCAAAGCTGGAAAGGGGCTCACTGTCGTCACTTCCTTCTTGAGAGGAAGCCTCAACAGTCCAGACGATAGAAAACGAGCAGAGCAGGTGCCTCTTTTGCCTTGAATTTCCTATCAGACTGGTAGTCCTTGTGTTTCATGTATTTTGCTTTGTGAGTAAGTACTGTTCTGCTTAGATCAAATCTCGTATGGACTTCGACATGAATCAGGTTCGGTTACGCGGTTTCGCCAAAACCCTTGTTCATGAAGAGAATCAGGTAAGTCTACATCTTAATGGCTCTGGTTACCTTTCGTTGCCCATGGGTTTTCTATCCAAAGATTGCTGGCTCGATGTCAACGCTCATTCAATCAGTGGGATTAGGCGGTCTCAAACCGAACACTGTGTTGGTCTCATGGCCAGTACATGAACGTGGATCTTCAGAAAGCGCCGATTCTGAGTACAACACATTTGCAGGTGTGTTCTGTTATTACAGTGGTACTGCTCTCCTAGGTCTAGTGCTTTGGCTGAAGCAGCGTTCAGACTTCGCGATTACGCGCGACGCATACCTTGCCTAAACGCAGTCTGGTATCCTGCTATCCTCCCTTGCTCTTTCAAAGCAGCAGCGGCCTTCGGCGATCGATATCCATCAATGACTACTCTCCCGCATATAATATTGGAGGCTGTTGCGATCGTAGCGTGTCGCCGCACATTACAATCGTTTCTTCGCGAACTCTGAACGCTGCTAAGGTTGCTGTTGTTCTGCAGATTTTTCAAGCGTAATTCAGAAGTTTTAATAATCCTGAATATCCTGTTTTGAATCAGAGCACTGGTGACGTGATGGACACTATCGACTTTGGCTCCCCTTTCCCCTACTTTCTAATTAAAGTGGGATACCTAAGCTGAACAGTGATCTTATTGGTGACCAATACGGCCGAGAAGTGAGAGTTTGCTTGTTTTTTTTTCTTGCCCGCTCGTAGCAACAGTCTCTTGATTATTGACCTTCCATAAAAGGTGCGTCCAGGCCGGATAACCCCCACCCCTATATCTCAAAAATTCATGCGAAATCCACCTATTTTTACTAATCATGAAAACAAGATAAGCTGCGACTGCTGCCAACAACAGGCACAGTTTGACTATTTCGAGAGCAAATTGTCATACGAGAAACAGAAGAATTTACCGTTGAGAGTTCATGCGGAAAATCTCTGTTACATGGGTTTGCAGATAAACTGCATGCTGCCTGCGCTATGGACATGTGTCTATTGGTAGCCAAAGGAATCATCGACTTCCCTTCGAGCTCTTTCAAATTGACTGGTTTCATTGACGTGTACTGGATTGTTCAAGATGGAGGACTCTGCCTACTTATCGCATACCTTCTCAAACAACATAAGGTATATTCGTGCTCACAGTTGCATAACTCTACATTAATATTAACTTTGGAATTAGTTCAATTTTGTTATTAGGTCTGGCGAGGATGCAAACTACGGATTATTGCCATCGCTCAGGAGAACGATAACAATCTTAAGATGCAGACCGAACTGCAGCAATACGTCTACCAGTTGAGAATCGATGCGAAAATATTGGTACGTGTTTGAATACTCTGCTGGGTAGGTTGTGCATGGTTTTGTTGGTCGTCGGCACGTATGTGACAGGGCAATCGTAATATACTGCACTGGTGGGCGTGGACCAGCGCCTTTGTGTGCGAAGTGCGCTGTCCCGTGGCTCGTTCAACTAACTGAAGTGATCCATCCCATTGCTAATCTGAAGAACATGCCGTGAACAAGAGCAAGTCTCTTGCTTCACGACAACTTTGTCGATACAGTAGTGCAACTCTGACATTGTCGTGCGACTAGCCGCGCCCGTCGCGAACGATGGGGCCTTGTTAGCTCAGGATAGAATCGCCCGTCCTCCAGTCGTCCCATGCCTTTTGAGCTGTTTGAGTGTTAAAAGAAGGGGAAAGTTCAATATAACCCGTCACGAAGTCTCGTCTTGGCCCGAATTTATACGAAATAATTGAAAAAATTCGTCGAGGATCTGCCGCGCATCGCCCGCATGATTCTCCGCTCCGGTCAACTGTAAACGCGCGCTCTTTATGCGGGAAGGACGTCAAAAACAAGCAGTCGTTACTATGCCTTCGAATCCTCAAAAAAAGTGAGGCTTGCAAAAAAGGGAGATGGACCTGTACGCAGACGAACTTCTGAAGGAACCGGGCTCAAACGGTGTACCTAAGCCGCGTGGGCTGGAGTTATGAGTGCTTTTGCCGTAGGATGCGCAGTGCTTTTCATTGTTTGCTCATTCTTTATTTTCCAGTGTTTCAGTTTTTCATTGGATTCAAGTGTCTCCTTTCAACTGAACATCGCATAAATGACATTTTTCAGATCGTCGAGCTCGCTGACCCTGAAATTTCCAAGAATGCCTTTGAGCGCACTCTCCTCATGGAGGAACGTACAATGGTTCTCAAGCAGATGCAGGAATCAAGGGGTGGAAACAACGCTCCAGCACGTGAAATCTCGGTACCTATTACACAATCCTGTTGACAGTACTCAACTGAATTAATTCACTGCCCGTTCAGCCACTTGTTACCGCTGAGCGGAAGACAGCTGTCTCAGCAACTAAATCAGGTGAAGGCAATGGAGACACAAATACAGGCGCTGGAAACGACGTACATACAGGTAAGGACATTGCGTTATAGGCTGCTTACTTATGCCAGATAAGTCTGGTTTCATAAATTGGATATATTAATAACTCATTCTTTTCATTTCTGAAAGTTTCTTATTTACCTTTTTCTCAGAAGCAGACTTCGCAATGAGCCGGCGAAAAGTTTGTAGATGGCGGGGTTGAACAACAGAAAGGAATGTGGCAGGTGACTTGCATATGGAGAAAAAGCGGGGAAAACCGTCGGAACTTTTCACATGAAGCCCTCTTTGTCCCTAGCGAGAGACAAAGAATCGGTGCGGATCAGCGAGAGACCAGACAAGAGCAGCGAGGAAGCATGTAAAGGAGACGTTTATGCGTTTCATAATTTGTCTCCTAATCTGGGCTTTCTGTCGATCGACGCGCTATATTTGCATATTAATATTATGAATATTTGAGTACAATTCCTCCTGTAGTACAAAGAAATGGATAAATAAGTACACTACACGGAGTCAGCTGAAGCCTCGTCTTTTAAGGCGTCGCTAGATGTAATGTAGGTAGGATGGGGAAGACGGATGTCGTATTTTCTCGCGGTCCCCCGCTCGATAGCTCGGGTATCGGAGGAAGGAACCAGGGGTGTATCAAGCCACTTCCTCCCCCTTCGAGGGAATCGTACGAACTCGACCAAAATCCTCAGTCAATGATGTGCCCTAATTTCCTTCAGAATTTAGTTGTTCTTGCTTGAATCCTGTTTCTGCCGATTCGGTTTCCAAACAGTAAAAGTGCGACTGCAGGATAGAAGCGCAGAGTAATCCTTGGTATCTGATTTCACACCAATTCTGACATAGCCGCACCTAGCTGTAATTACCATTGTAACTTACCTTTCGAGTGAGCTGCATGAAATTCAAGTTTTGCTGTTTCAAGTGGTGCTCTACATCTGAAACCTTCATAATGATTCGCTGTTACTCTTGCCTGAAAGGACAAACAGGTGTAGAAGTGTGCCACTTCAAAGACAAACTGAACATTCTGCTCCGTTGATCTCGGTCCTTGCCCTATGTGAGGAGAATGCGTACTCAGCTGCAGTGTCATGCAAGTTTCTCCGCTTAAAAGTGCACGGAAACGAGGCTGAAGGGTAGTGGTACCCGTGTGCCGTTCCTATACTCCCCCTCTAGGTGAGCCACACACCTATCCATAGCCAAATGCACTACTTGTCTGTTCACCTCTGGTTGTTCTCGTTCGTGTTTCGCTGCGAGATCTTGGTCGACGCAGTTGCTGCACATTGAGAATAGCGCATCTGGGGTATGAAAAAAGTGTTCGTGTATAACAACACCCCAACCCTTAGAGGGTTTTCTAGTGTTAAAGTCTACACATATGTTGACTTGAACTTGGGCTTATTGCATAACTGGCCATTTCCAGACAAATCTCCGGACGAGGAGCACACCAATGATGATTCAAAGAAGGAAAAATCGAAGAAGGAGAAACTACTAGCGCTGGATCGAACGAAGGTGACTGTTTTTGCAGTAATAGCTTGGATTATCTTAAAACTTTGTTAACGTTCACTCACTAATTTTCTTGTAGGTCCACAAAATGCACACTGCTGTTCGACTGAATGAGTTGATTGTCGAACATTCTCTCAACAGTCAGCTTGTCCTTCTGAATTTGCCCAAACCGCCGCGAGGGAAGGAAGGTGAGTCAATTTGCTTCTGCAACATAATCTTTTGAACTCATTGATTCGGTACTATTTATTTACCCTCTACTGCCGCAATCTTCCAAAATCAGGTTAGTTTCTTTATAGACTTTTTCCCTCAATGGGCACATTGGGCTGGAAACTGGCTCCTAGGCGTAGGCAGACCTATTGAACATGAGTATCACATCTTCTTGACCCGGAAGCGCCTGGCGCCCTAGCCACAACGCCGACGCTAGATTGTCACGAATTAAAGAAAATTTGCTGAAAACTCGTCCTCAGGAGCAGTTTGGCCCACTGAACACGAATATCACATTCGTTCGGTGCGAAATCGCAGACCGCTCAGGTTACAGGCCCCTGCACCACATGCTTATTTTGCCCCGGCTCGTGTAACGCAGAATCCTGGCTGTATCGTGCCAAGCGGTGTGCTAGGGCAGTCGGAGAAACAGGAAAAGAGTACCCTTTCTGGTTCTCATTCTCTTCGCTGAAGCGCAGCCTAAGTAGAGGAAGGGGTCGTTATCTCGGGGTAAGGGTGCAGCAGGCTGCGCTGTCAAGTGTACCCTTTCTTCTCTCCATCCTTAACTCCAGTGGCACCCAAAACAGGTAAGATTTTCTTATCCGGGAGGTGGAACTACCTCTGGGAACAACGGAATTGGTGATATAAAGCATTTTGGCGCCAGTAGCTGTAGCGACTTTGTTGAAAGTTCTCGGGCCAAGTGGATGTGACATGCATGTTCAAGAGGCCAAACACCACTGAAAATCAGTTTGTAGCCAAATTTGCCCCCCTTGGAAAAATTCGTTAAAAACTGGCCTAATTCCGGGAAATTGTTTTGGGGCAGTACAGGGTAGGTGGTGCCCATTAATTCTTTGAAAGCTTAGAGCGGTAGGACCGATCTAGCCTCTTGGAAATCCAACCTGTTAAGTGGACTTTATTTGCGTTCCCACTTTCCGTTCTTGCATTTTTGATGAAAGTTCTCAAGTATCATTAAATTATCACAATAATGGGAGACGGGCAACAGAATCGAAATTTGCCGCACCGCCGCGCGCGGCGTTTTCTTAACTCGTGTTAACCTGTCGATTGGACTTCATGTAGACCCCGTCATCGTGGACATTCATGACTATTTTCGGTTCTGAATTGCCTGTTGTCGCCATCTACTACCTGGAACCATCGTCATTTGCGGGCGCGACGTCGCACGCGACGCCCACCAGCGCGGCGAATTACGATTCTCTTGTCACATACCCCACAATAATCATTGCGCTTTTCAGGACTCGACGACTATATCCATTATCTGGAAGTTCTATCGGACAAGATCAACCGAGTTATTTTCGTGCGTGGTACAGGAAAAGAAGTCATAACGACCCACTCGTAGTTTGCTGCTAGCAGTGGCTGTACTAGGTTTCGCTCTGGATATTTTTTGGCGTCTTTCTCGAGACTCAACCATAATCGTTGTACCACTAGTGATATTGACCTCACCCGCAGTGTTCGTGATTCTTATGACGTGGTGTGTAAATCTGTGATCTATGATTGTTGTCCCGTTGCCATGCTATACAATTGTATATTTTTCTTTTATATATTTTATGAGTCAGTTTTCCGGCGACGGACGGTGAATCAAGTGTCTACTTGACTCCGCATAATATACTACATCTGTGTTAGCAAGTGCCTTTTGTTCGTCTAATTTCATAGTCGTTGCTAATCGTAGTAGTTTCGGCGAGTTTTTCAGGGAAACTGGCCGGTTGTTCGACTTTATGTCCACATATCCGCTGTGCCTCATTGCAAGCGTGGCCGCCTACTCCCGCCGGAAGAGGTGTGCATTTCCCCGGGGTTGACTAAGTGCGTGAACGACATCTCTTTCTCTGAAGTGCACGATGTTCACGACGTTATTCATCTCCGACGAGAGTACGGCCCGCTCCAAAATCGAGTTTGTATTCGCTTAATGCTGTTATATATAATATATACAATGTGATTCAAGTGATAAATAAACCTGTAGATTGTGAACACTGGTTTTGAACAGGGTCAAAACGGAATCCGCGACGGGAGGGATGGGCAGTATTCGCAGAGATTAGTACTGAACACAGAAAGACGTAGTCGCCATCCTGGGCAGTTGATTAGGCGGTCAAAGGGTCGCAGACGCGGCTGCGGCGCGTCACGACCGCGGCGATCAGCTGTTTCCAGCCTATTTAGCCATTTTCTCCCTAATTTTCACTGTATTATTTTTCAATGTAAATTGTTTTTTGTCTTCTAAGTATATTAGGACGTGCACGCTTTCTTTTTACTTTTGAAATGGTGTTTTTGCGATTTTTTTGAGTAATTATAATAGTAATAATAATAATAATAACAATAATAATATTCGTGTAATTATTTGTTTAATTATTTGATTGTTAGCAAAAATTAGAGGAATCGCAGTACAAGGAACAACTAACCTCAAGGAAAAGCAGCCAAAAACAGTGAAAATTAGGGAGAAAATGGCTAAATAGGCAGCTGATCGCGCGGTCGTGACGCGCCGCAGCCGCGTCTGCGACCCTTTGACCTTCTAATTCAATGGTTCTAATGTAATTCTCCCATTTTAATTCTAATTGATTCTAATCAACTGTCCAGATGACGACTGTACTTGCTGGATAGGTGACGCGTTCTGAAAGGAAGTCGAGGTCATGGCGCATTCCGTGGCGTCGATCGGCGCCTCTGTGCTGCAGATTCTAGTCACCACATGAGGAGAAGGTATACGGAGACAGGGGACAGCAATGTGTGAAGGGTGATGTCAGTAGGCCCCTTTCTCCTGAAAGAGGGTCTCGATACGACTCCTCTATAAAAGGGTCTCGGTACGCCTCCCCCCCCCCTTCACTTTCCCAACACCTACCACCACATTCCTACATGTTCCCAGCTTCCCACCAGTTTTCTCCGAAATTCCCCTTTTTTACCAGAATTTCTCCGTCCAGCGGGGGGAGGGAGAGGTATA